TACTCGTAAAATGAATAATTTTGTTTTGAAACAAACAGTTGTTGATTTACAGTATGCGGGGCCAAAGGATTTATAAAGATTTGAAATGCCACAAATTGATTCAGTGTCAAAATTAATACAAATGTCAGTTCCCAGTTTAAATAAGTTTCAAGGTGACAATGTGTCAACGCTGCGAAATCGGTTTAGTGCGTTTACATGTCGATAAGTGATTGGAGCGTTTGCAAAACATTTTATTTCGCATAATGCGTCTAAATTTATCAGAAAGCAACTTATGTGATATTTTAATAACAATGTTTATATGACTATTAACCATAATAAGAGAGTAATGACCATTTTACAATTTATATATCACATTAATATGAAACTGCAATAGAGCAATTGTTTGTGATAGAAACCTAGCCATTAGGTCGGGGAATTTTTATCGTGATGACGTGCACGCCACTTTGTTTGGCGTTGACTATAGTTGGTGAATGTGGAAATAGGCAGATAGAGTGAAATAGTCAGATATCTCCAAAACCAGTAGCGACACCTGTACTTCCATGGCGTTATTTACTCTTGTATCAGTAGCATAATTATCAGATACAAGATTAAGGAGCATAACCTCAAAAAAGTTGTTGAAACCGATGAACGTGAATATTGAAACATTGGACTGGCTGCCATTGTTTTGTATTTCTAGGAAAAGTACAACTTTGTTCTAATAATTACTATTTGTTGTTAAGCCATACATGCATAATCAAATTGTGTGTGAATTAATTATCAAATCTATGTTTATACAGGGTGACTTCGAAGTTGAGTCATTTATTTTAACAGTGAGTAGATCTGATCAAAAGAAATGTTTTTTTCCTTTACCATTTTTGAAAATTTTTGAAAGTTTGAGTACCGCCCTGTCTCAATAATAATATTATGTGCTCGTGGCAACAACAAATATAATCCGCCTTATCGGTTCATCGCATCGGAAACAAAAAAGCGAAAGAATTTGGAACGATGTTTTTACAATTATTTTATTCAGTTGTATACAGTCAGTGTCAGTCGGTAACGCGTGAGTGAATAGTGGTGTCTGTTGCGTGGCTCAAACGAAATAAAAAATGGCACATGTTCCCAATCGAGTGCAACCAACCCCTCGTGCCTTTGTTAATGTAGTACAACGGGCTCATGAATCAGGTAACTTAAGACCTCACAGGGGACGGCATGCTGGTGCTCCAAAACCTCACGATCAAATACAGGTCCGCACTGAAATACTTGTCGGGAGGATACTTTATAAAACAAGGTAAAAAATTTTTTTTATTTTTTTTTTATTTTTACACACATATTTTGGTTTATCTTCCTTCTACAATCATTATCTGAAAATTAATAAGTCAACTTCAAAGTCACCCTGTAGATTCTAGCTATAAACTCGAGATTAAGTGAGGGTGGAATGGTATTGTGGAATATTTCCAAACATCAACCATTCGGGTGTTCCACATTACCGGGCCTACTGATTAAGGAATTTGTTTATGTTTTGTTTTTGTCGACAACTCAAAACTAATATCAAATGTCAAACAAGAATCCTGGGAACAATTATACTCTATAAATAATATAGACAAAGCAACGGGACTGTTCATAGAGAAAATAAAAAAACTAATAGATATTAGTACCAATAAAGTAATAATTAGTCACAAAGAGAAAAGCAGAAATGCCTGGATTACCAAAGGATTAATAACATCGGCAATAGAAAAAGAAAGACTATATAATGTAATGAAACTAACGCCAACTACAGAGAATACCGACTGTTACAACCAATATAAAAATAAATTTATAGAGCTTGCAAGGCAAACCAAACGAAAACATTACCTAAATAAATTGAATAATAACTTGAATGATCCTAAGCGGCTTTGGACAACTATTGATGAGATTACTGGGAAAACAAAAGTTAAAGAGTGTGTCACTGAGTTAAATACAACATCGGGAACAGTATTAAAAAATACTCAACAGATATGCGATGAATTTGTACAATTCTTTACTGACATAGGCGAAAATTTAGCAAGTAATATACAAGCAAATGTACAAAATACTCAGCCTCCAAAAAGAACTTTGAACTCATTTATTTTGGATAAAGTCGAACAATGTGAAGTATACACCACTGTTATGTCCTTAAAAAATCGGAAAAGTCCTGGGTTCGATGGTATTAAAAGCGAGCATTTGAAAATTATAGCCGAGGACATAACAGAACCACTCACTTACCTAATCAACAAATGCTTTAAATCTGGCATATATCCCTCAATTTTAAAAAAAGGTAATATAATACCGATACATAAATCAGGAACAAAAACAGATGTTAACAACTATAGACCAATATCAATAATATCCAGTGTAGCAAAGATTTTTGAAAAAGTTTTATTTACTAGAATGATTCGATACCTCACAAAATTCAAAATTTTAAGTGAAAATCAATATGGATTTACTGAAGGGAAGGCTACATCGGACGCAATAACTAAAATTGTAAATCAAATATATCAAAATATTGATAAAAGAATCCCTTCAATCTGCATTTTTGTTGATTTAAAGAAAGCTTTCGACACAGTTAATCACAAATTATTATTAGAAGCATTGGAGAGAATTGGTTTCAGAGGAAACGCGTACTCACTGATCGAAAGTTATTTGTCAAATCGCCCACAATCTGTGCAGATATCAGGATCATTTAGTAAAGAAATGTATATTAAGTGTGGTGTCCCACAAGGAACTGTCTTAGGTCCGCTGTTATTCAATATATATTTAAATGATATTTTCCAAATTAATTGTGTTGGCAAAATAACTAGTTTTGCAGATGATACTGCAATATTATATGAAGGCACTGACTGGTCTGATCTGAAAAATGTAATTGAAAATGATTTTATAAAAATTATTCGGTGGTTTAACAGTAGAAAATTAAGCATTAACTAATCTAAAATACATTTTTTACCATTTGGATCTTATACTAGACATCTGCCAAATTACACAAATTTCTCCTTCAATATTAATGATAAAAAAATGCAAATTAATAGAGTGCCCAACATAAAATACCTTGGAGTGGTCTTGGATCCTCACTTACGATGGGACATCCATGTCAATTATATTTTAAAGAAAGTTAGATTTGTATCCTACAAAATTAAATACCTTGGGAATATATTGACAGAAAAATATCTTCAAACATTATAGCATGCACTGATTGAGCCTCATCTCACATATGGTATATTAGCATGGGGAGCTGCATGTTCCTCGCATATCTATAATTTAGATGTTTTTCAAAAAAGTATTCTAAAAATGATATTTAAAAAACCGAAACTTTATCCCACTGAAAAATTATATGCAGATGTTCGAATGTATGATATAAGACAGCTTTATTTCTTACACAGTATCACTCACTACCATAAATTTGTAAACACCGACCAAAAAATTAAACATAATCATTATACCAGGTACAAAATTCGTGGTACAGTAGTTCCTCAACCGCATAAATCTATAATGCAGCGATCATATCTCTATTTAGCGCCTAAATTTTATGAAATTATACCTAAAGACTTAAAAGATTTATGTTTCGGAAATTGTTTCAAAAGAAATTTAAAAAAGTGGCTACATTCTATATCTAGGACTGAAATTCATAAACTCATAATTACGAACATCAACTAAATACATAATCTACTGTAGCTAATTTTTGTCCTTTTTTGTCATTTGCATTCTATAGTTTCAACTTAAATTATTGGTCCATGTACAGGCGATGCCTTCAGTTGGGCCTGTTTTGATTTTATATTTATTTACTCATATTGTTTGTTATCTTTGTACATTGAGTAAATAAATATCGCTACATATTACACGCTTCGCATAATTTCATTTCTGCAAATGCATGGACTCAAAATATGCGACCTAAATTACTCCAGCTACTTGACAGAACCTCACAGATATCGGAACTACTTGATTTATTTGAATGCCTCAAATTAGTATGGAATTATTGGCTTCAAATCATAATGATAATAAATGGGCTTTATTCCGTACCTAAGTGAAAGTACAAAAAAGGCGAAGTGTCGCGTTTTTCAACTTAACCTTATGAAAAGTATTCCACATTCACTAACTTTACTCTACATGTTGCCTAACAGTAATTACACACAACGCGGGTCGGTGATGATTTCCCGTAATTCTCCTCAGTTTATCGTAATTTTTAACTTTGAATATAACCTCTCTTCAGAAAGCACAACATAAAGATAACCCGTCGGGCACAGCCAATAGATATACTCCGTTGGCATCATATTCAGTAATGATTTTCTCACACAAAGCTGGAGGAGTGTGAATGGTGGTTCTCTGCAACGCCTTCCACGTTGAAGGTTAAAATCCCATTAGAAAATGGACGGGGTAGCACCCAAACCAAAACAACTAATCGTAATGTACAAATTTAAGAATGCTACTTCATAATCTGGTGTTTGGGGCGTTAATATCCCAGAATCTGGAAATTATTACCAACGAAACGACCCACGCACAACCAAAACCTCAACGGAAAGTAAAAGTGACGCAGAAAACCTAACTTTTTGAAAGAAGGTTAAATGAGTGGCCTTGAAGATTGTATGTTCGATAGGAAATCGAATATTAGATAGGTTAGTACGTTTAGAAATCACACTACGGGCCCAACACTACGAGGGATCAACGACATTTTATGAGGAAATTTTCAAATTTTTGGCCAAAACTTGGTTAACACTATGCCCCAAAGAATTTCAACCGTAATAAAAAATAAAGGTGATGTTATCCAATGGTAATCTTTCAATTGTTGCTTTGTTAACTTCGCGCATTTATTCGCACATTGTTTATTTATTCAGATGTTCTATTAGTTATAGGTCTAAGTGATTTCAAATATGTATTTTTTACGACTAGAGTGTATCTAAAATGTTTTTGAGAAAATAAATTGTTTTAGAAGTAAATAGTTTCGTCTATAAAGGCATATTTTGGTACAAATCTTGAAGTGGCTCATAGATGCCACCCGCTTTGAAAGTCAATGGTATAGATCCTATCAGATAGATAGATAGATAAGCTAAGCGTTTATTCAAAATATCACAATAACAGAATACAATATTTTATAACACTGACTGTTCTAAATCGCTCTTTTCAAAAACGTACGTCTGCTCATAGGCTGAGCCTTTCATACCGGTATAAATCGGCTGATAATTATAGATGAGCGTTCTTTCTTCTAAATTATGATCCGGAAACTTGTTTCCATTCTTCCTGCATTCCTCCACGAAAAAATTCGCGAAATACTGGGTTACTTTCACAGCCTCCACACTATGTGGTATTCCAACTCCTGCCTTAAATTCGAACACGTTTTTCTCCGGGTGAAACTGCACCCCGTAAAACGGATACTTGGAATTTTCCATGGACGAAACGAACTCAATGCCATTGATGTCTTTATCGGTCGATGTTACTTTCCATTCTTGCAACAGTTTGTCGCCTCGCAACGTCTCTTCGGTCAGGCAGAATCGGTGGAAATTGTACGTTACATTTTTCGTTTTCAGGATGTTTATCACTTCATCCGGAGCCTTCGAAAACATCTTACTCTTCTCATAATCTAAAACAGAAAATAAGAAACAACTCAGGGAAAACCATATTAAAAGAGATATTGATCAAGGAAATGCTACTTGTTTAGTTCTGCTAGACTACTCAAAAGTATTAACACTCGTGCGGGAAAGAAAAAGAGATTATTCAAAAGCTGTTCAAAATCAGGATACAAGAAAATTTTATAAAACCCTAAAGACCTTCAAAGATTCTACAATTCCCGCGAGTTTATCACATCCGCATAGAATAAATGAGGCATTTTCAAGAACAGTGATTTAAGATGTGCTGATAAAATTGCATATTACCGAGCTGATAACAATAACTCGAAATCCGAATTTCAATTTAGTAATGTGAATATTGACACCGTGGTTAAAATCATTCACAATATAAAATCAGATGGAATAACTTTGTATACTAAGTGAAATATAAATCCGAACACCCAGTTTAAATGGATTTATCTTAATAAAATTTTGTACAAGTACTTAATGAAGCATAATAAGTAAATGATAAAAATTAATAATAAAAATAATGTGTGGATGCACCCTGATGTGCTACGCATTCTCCAACGCGCCTAGGCATGCTTCTGATCAGGTGGTCAATGTCCTGCTGTGGTATCTCATACCAGGCAACCACCAACTCCTCTCGAAGTGCTTCTAGAGTCAGAGGAGGACGTTGCAAATTGAGCAATCTCCTACCCATCATATCCCACACGTGCTCAATTGGGGATAAGTCGAGTGATCTTGGTGGCCATGGTAATAATGTGACATCGTTATGTTGAAAGAAGTCTATTGTGACTCTTGCAACATGTGGTCGGGCATTGTCTTGTTGGAAAGTTGGATCTGCCAGGGTGTCAAGATAGGGTAAAAGATGGGGTTCTAGAACTTTGTGGATATAACGGTGCGCGTTCATGTTACCTCTGATGAAGATTAAAGGTGACCTGGAACCATAAGCTATAGCACCCCAAACCATAACTCCAACAGTGTGATGAACATGTCTTTCAACAAAAAACTGTGGATTCCTCCTTTCACCACGTCGCCTTCTAACCCTGGCACGACCATCGTGCATGCCTAAACAAAATCGAGACTCGTCACTAAAGACAATACTGTTCCATTCCTGATCCCAGAGTGACCGTTGTCTGCACCACTCAAGGCGATTACGTCGGTGTTCTCTAGTTAAAGGGATGACCCAGTGTGGCCGGTATGAAAACAAGCCAAAACTTCTCATTCGTCGGTAAACACTTCGCATGCCAATAGGTCTTCCGTGTTCTGCAAACCATTCATTTGCAATGGACCTGGTAGTGGAGAAACGGTCCCTTAAGGCCAATAATCTTAGGCGGCGATCTTCACGGTCTGTTGTTCTACGGCGGCGTCCAGCGCCCCTTGCTCTTTGCGTACGGCCTTCTCGAAGCCATGCCTGACAACACCTAACCACAGTGTCTACACTTCTTTGCACTCTAACTGCAATTGCCCGAAAAGAAAGTCCAGCTTCCCGAAGTCTCACTATACGGCCTCTATCAAACTCACTAAGTTGACGAAATCGTACAGGTCTTCGTAGTTAGTGAATTAAAAAAAAGCAGTATAAAAACCGGAATGTCCAACTGATAAGGCTGAACATTTTTTCACTTGTTATTTACAGTAAGATAAATACATTCACCAACTTTTATTAAAATAAAACCATTTAAACTGGGTGTTCGGATTTATATGTCACTTAGTATATTTGAAAACTTGAGATGTCTTAGCTAAAAAAATTTAAATTCTCAATCCAGTTTATTAAGGTATAAATAGAAGCTGATTCCTGAAAACGTATTTTTCATTCTATTTTTTAGTCTGATACCCCTTACCTTCAGCAAACTTCAGAGGAAGTGCAACGTGTTTCAGCTCGCAGTCGGTTCTGATGTCATCGCCTTTTTCCGCGTACGGTAACACTTGCAAGCCTAAGCAAACTCCGAAGATGGGATAGTATGTGCCTTTATCATTAACGACTTTCGCCAAATTGTACAATTTTCTGGCCGCCTCGCCGTATCCTCCTGTTTCGTTGAAGTAGGTGCCTCCTCCGGGAAAGAGGACTCTGAAAGAGTGTGCATTGACTACATGCCGTATTAAAATAAAAAAAAACAATGGAAAGCCCAAGCGCGATGCTTAGCGCATCTGATTTCAATCTTTATTTTACTAAAATTGCAAAAAATCTTACTAGATTTTCAGCTTCAACGAATACGAGCTATTTGCATGAGGGAACTCGTACAGAAGATTTTGTTTTAAAAGAGGTTACTTACAATCAAGTCAGGACAGCGATAAGTACAGAGTTTGTCCGGAAAGTGATACGACTGAGTTGATTTAAAAAAATGCATTGAGCCAATCGTTACAATCCTTTAAAAACTTTCAAAATAGGCCGCTTCTGCGTCGATGCAGCGCTGCCACACGCGAAATCTAACAGTTTTGATGTTTTCAGTTTCAATGCAAAAATTACTCTAACGATTCAAAACCTAATTGTTATACCATTGACAAAGTTATTCAGTTGGTAATTTCAAATAGTTATGGATATTTTTAAACAGTCGAGTTATCCCTCTCTTCAAAAGAGACGATTCAAACATCTTCCAAACTATAGGTCTACTTGCTGAGATACTTGAGATTCTGTTTAAAGATCAGCTGAATATTTTGAAAACTACTGACTTTCATTTCGGTTTCAGATCAGGTAAGTCTACTTCGCTGGCTATTGGCAGCTTCATTGAGAAAATAAATGCAGCTCTTCAAAGTGGTAAGTACTCATTGATTTGCTATTTTTTTCGATGTTACTTGTGATCAACATTTACATTTATAAAAATTGTCGTATTACAAGTTCCATAGTAGTAGCATGAAGCTCTTGTAATTTTATTTGGAATCAGACCGGAAGGACATTGTGTGGCTTCGCCTCAATTCGTACATCCGGAACCGGCCGATACGACCGCTCCTTTGTCCCGAGGGTGTCGAGATTGTGGAACAATCTACAAGAGGAAGCTTTTCCCAGTTCTATTAACCTTAACCCCAGTATAAACAAAATTTCTTTGGGATCATCATAGCAGCCGCGGTGTTCCGGCATTTAGGCTTCTGCCTGCGCGGCTGCTTCGATATATAAAAAAAAAGATAGCAGCTTGTAAACCAAAACACTACCTCCAGTACAACGACAGCTTCACGTGGCGTCCCACAGGGTTCTGTGCTGGGGCTACTTTTATTTCTGATATACGTAAATGACCTTCCTAACACAAACAACGAGCTTATACTGTTTGCCGATGACACTACATATCTCTATAGTAGCAAATCGATTGATCTACTTTATTCTGCAAATACTGGATATACAAAAAAATTTGAAAATTGGTTTTTAGCAAATAAACTGACTCTTAATGCTTGAAAGACACAGTCGATGGTAATAAGTTTGTGTCACCATAGATACAGTAAACATTTTTGGATGTCCATAGTGATGATACACATGTGACTTAGGAGGATTATGTAAACAATATTTTCAGGATACTGTCATCGTCATCGCAGGTCTGAGTTATATGCAGTTATGTATTAACCCATTCATCAACCTAAAAATAGTTACAATACACGTAGCATGCATAAGTTAGATATTGCTAAACATCATCTACAAAGAACTAGAAACGGTTCTAACTACTATGGAATCCAGTTTTTTAATGTTCTTCCTGAGACACTCAGAATGTCTGGCCTTAGCTCATTTAATAATAGAAATTGAAGATATACTCCAAGAATTTTTTAATAATAATTTTTCGGATCCCTTATAATGATGTTGTAGTGTGCTTGTTTACGTTTGTTCTGTTTGCTGATTTATTCGCGCTTGTTCTATAGTCTTGTATTTAGTTTGCAATCCAAACATCATTTTATTACAGTATTTCTGTTAATGTTACGAGGGTGGTCCCAGAAGTACCCGACCCAACGAAGAAAACACAAAAATTTAGAATCCACTTCAGCTTTTATATTGGTTGGGCTGAAGGATTTGAAATAAAAGTATTGTACCACATAACGATGACCAATTTTCTCCATTCTCACAAATTCACTGAAAACGTTCAGTATTGATGGCTGCCAAACAAATACTAAACAACGTGGCGTCTTCAAACTTGACACATATGCTTTATAGGTTGCATACTTTCTAATACAATATTTTTCAAACAACTATCGCCATCTCTAGGTCAGGCCGGATACTTCTGGGACGACCGTCGTAGTTTTCACAGTTTTCTGATATTGTTCCTTCCAAAATTTGTGTCTGCACTTTTGTAATTTGACTTCTACTCTGTCCGGTGTAAGCACCGATTAAAGAACCAAATGTCTTAATATTTTTTTAACAACTAACAACAACAAAAATGTTGATGAAACTGGAATACAAAAAAAAAGTGTCGTGTACTGAAAAAGGTCGTCGTTGTGATCGAAACGTGTACATTAAAGAAGAATTTTAAATAAACGGGGTTTCACTAGGCCAGAAAAACGTGGGGGACTATTATAACTGGTTAGAATGTTTAATAATGAACAAATGTGTACTCACCCATTAGTATAGTTTACAACTTTTCTATAGTAATCATCATCTTTGCCAATCCTGAAAAAAGTTATAATTGCACTTCCACGATTTGCAAGAATAAGCTAAAATAAGAATAAACTTAATATACAAATTTGACTTTGATGAAGTTTTGACTGTCTACTACGTAGTATGATACGAATGAAAAGTTTTTAAAGTGAAACTCTCACCAGACTGGTATAACTCGGGCTCCAGCACTTTCCAAGAACTTGACATACGATGCTACTATGAAGCTATGGTGAAATTCTCCTATGTAGTTCCTCAAAATGTAAGTTTCCTGACTTAATATTCCGATGATCGGCGTATCTGAAGCATAGGAACTCAAGATAAAACCCGTAAAGGTCAACAGTCGTAACATGTTTACACCGCTGTAGATTGAAGACTAATTTCATTCAATTAATGTATGTATCTAATACGCTACGGATAAAAATTGTGATAACTGTTACAAGTGCTGTGGAATTGACCACCGACGATTACGGCCAAGATCCAAGTTGGGACTTTACACGGAGCATAGATCTTGGAAAGAATAAGCAGTTTTTTCTAGTAACATACATGAAAGTCTTAAAATTATCGAGATGGAAGCCTCCCCAAAATCAATCAAACCGAAACAGCACCTAATCGAGTCTCCACACTCTTACAACCAATATCCGAGTTGTCTATATTATTTTAATTTACGGTGAGGCCTTCGAAATGCTACCGAGGCTTCGCGAGAGCATGCACATCGTTTTTACAGAGCCTTCGTGATTTATCTTTTGTTCGGGGCAAAATGTATACAGGATGTGCTCAAAGTTGGGACTTTCCTTTACACAGCGTATAGATCTTGGAAAAATAAGCATTTTTTTCTAGTAGCATATATATCAAAGTCTCAAAATTATCAATCAAACCTAAACAGAACCTAATAGAGTCTCCACACTCTTATAGCAATATCGGCGTTGTCTATATTATTTTAATTTACGGTGAGGCCTTCGAAATGCTACCGAGGCTTCGCGAGAGCATGCAGATCGTTTTTACAGAGCCTTCGTGATTTATTTTTTGTTCGGTGCAAAATGTATACAGGGTGTGCTCAAAGTTGGGACTTCCCTTTACACAGCGTATAGATTTTGGAAAAATAAGCATCTTTTTCTAGTAGCATATATATCAAAGTCTCAAAATTATCGATCAAACCTAAACAGAACCTTATAGAGTCTCCACACTCTCATAGCAATATTGGCGTTGTCTATATTATTTTAATTTACGGTGAGGGTCTTCGAAATGCTACCGAGGCTTCGCGAGAGCATGCAGATCGTTTTTACAGAGCCTTCGTGATTTATTTTTTGTTCGGGGCAGAATGTATACAGGATGTGCTCAAAGTTGGGACTTCCCTTTACACAGCGTATAGATCTTGGAAAATAAGCATTTTTTTCTAGTAGCATATATATCAAAGTCTCAAAATTATCGAGATGTTAGGCTCCGCAAAATAAATCAAACCTAAACAGAACCTAATCGAGTATCCACACTCTTATGCAATATTTTCGTTGTCTATATTATTTTAATTTATGGTGAGGGTCTTCGAAATGCTACCGAGGCTTCGCGAGAGCATGCAGATCGTTTTTGCAGAGCCTTCGTGATTTATTTTTTGTTCGGGGCAAAATGTGTACAGGGTGTGCTCAAAGTTGGGACTTCCCTTTACACAACGTATAGATCTTGGAAAAATAAGCATTTTTTTCTAGTAGCATATATATCAAAGTCTCAAAATTATCGAGATTTTAGGCTCAGCAAAATCAATCAAACCTAAACAGAACCAAATGGAGTCCCCACACTCTTACAACGATATCGGAGTTGTCTATATTATTTTTATTTACGGTGAGGGTCTTCGAAATGCTACCGAGGCTTCGCGAGAGCATGCAGATCGTTTTTACTAGAGCCTTCGTGATTTATTTTTTGTTCGGGGCAAAATGTATACAGGATGTGCTCAAAGTTGGGACTTTCCTTTACACAGCGTATAGATCTTGGAAAAATAAGCATTTTTTCCTAGTAGCATATACATCAAAGTCTCAAAATTATCGAGATGTTAGGCTCCGCAAAATAAATCAAACCTAAGCAGAACCTAATCGAGTATCCACAGTCTTATGCAATATTGGCGTTGTCTATATTATTTTGTTTACGGTGAGGGTCTTAGAAATGCTACCGAGGCTTCGCGAGAACATACAGACCGTTTTTACAGATCCTTGGTTATTTATTTTTTGTTCGGGGCAAAATGTATACAGGATGTGCTCAAAGTTGGGACTTCCCTTTACACAGCGTATAGATCTTGGAAAAATAAGCATTTTTTTTCTAGTAGCATATACATCAAAGTCTCAAAATTATCGAGATGTTAGGCTCCGCAAAATAAATCAAACCTAAACAGAACCTAATCGAGTATCCACACTCTTATGCAATATTGGCGTTGTATATATTATTTTAATTTACGGTGAGGGTCTTCGAAATGCTACCGAGGCTTTGCAAGAGCATACAGGTCGTTTTTACAGATCCTTGGTGATTTATTTTTGTTCGGGGCAAAATGTATACAGGGTGTGCTCAAACTTGGGATTTCCCTTTACACAGCGTATAGATCTTGGAAAAATAAGCATTTTTTCTAGTAGCATATATATCAAAGTCTCAAAATTATCAATCAAACCTAAACAGAACCTAATAGAGTCTCCACACTCTTATAGCAATATTGGCGTTGTCTATATTATTTTAATTTACGGTGAGGGTCTTCGAAATGCTACCGAGGCTTCGCGAGAGCATGCAGATCGTTTTTACAGAGCCTTCGTGATTTATTTTTTGTTCGGGGCAAAATGTATACAGGATGTGCTCAAAGTTGGGACTTTCCTTTACACAGCGTATAGATCTTGGAAAAATAAGCATGTTTTTCTAGTAGCATATACATCAAAGTCTCAAAATTATCGAGATGTTAGGCTCCGCAAAATCGGAGGCTTCGCGAGAGCATGCAGATCGTTTTTACAGAGCCTTCGTGATTTATTTTTTGTTCGGGGCAAAATGTTTACAGGGTGTGCTCAAAGTTGGGACTTCCCTTTACACAGCCTATAGATCTTGGAAAAACAAGCATTTTTTTCTAGTAGCATATACATCATAGTCTCAAAATTATCGAGATGTTAGGCTCCGCAAAATGAATTAAAGCTAAACAGAACCTAATCGAGTCTCCACACTCTTATAGCAACATTGGCGTTGTCTATATTATTTTAATTTACGGTGAGGGTCTTCGAAATGCTACCGAGGCTTCGCGAGAACATACAGACCGTTTTTACAGATCCTTGGTGATTTATTTTTGTTCGGGGCAAAATGTATACAGGGTGTGCTCAAACTTGGGATTTCCCTTTACACAGCGTATAGATCTTGTAAAAATAAGCATTTTTTTCTAGTAGCCTATATATATCAAAGTCTCAAAATTATCGAGATGTTAAGCTCCGCAAAATCAATCAAACCTAAACAGAACCTAATCGAGTCTCCACACTCTTATAGCATCATTGGCGTTGTCTATATTATTTTAATTTACGGTGAGGGTCTTCGAAATGCTACCGAGGCTTCGCGAGAGCAAGCAGATCGTTTTTACAGATCCTTCGTGATTTCTGTTTGAATCGAAATGTTTGGTGTATAAAACTATACACTTGACAAACTACATGATACCGTCAATCTCGAGAATTCCCATTTCGCGAGCTCAATCCTGTGATTAAAAAATAATTAGAGGATCATAAGCGCTCAAACTCAATTAAGTTTTAGGTCTAAACGATTCAAGAGGTGGCAGTTCTGTGATAATTTTGGGTAATACGAGTATTGCAGAGACAGTACCGTATTACCTGATCGTATACACGTAATCATGTATGAAAAAACACTCTGATGTAGGATCTCGCCGTGCTCGACATGAATCTCCTGACAAAAATGATGGTTCCTATTTGAAATTACAAACTTGACCTCCAAATGATCTCAAAAGTCATTGCTTAGGTCAAATTTGAGATGAAAAACTTTCATTGGAAATTTCATTCCAAAAATGCGCGGTTGCCAACTTCTTTATTTCGAGATAATGTGACTATTGTTATAGTGATCATGTTGCGACTGGAGAGAGAATACTCTTTGAACATTGTCTATGTCGACGTACGGATGGATGGGCATGCATGTCTTTGCTAGTATCACAACAAGGCGAAGTTTAAAAATAAACAAGCCGATTTGATATTCAGCTGAGTACAACTAATGATAAAGCGAAAAGAATAACAATAACAGTCATCTCTATTTGCATATACGAATACAGTAGGTGTAAACCACTTGTGATATAAATACCATAGCATTCAACAAACAATAGTAACGATATCTATAGCATATTCTTCAAATCTATCTTGAACACGTCATCGATTGTATATTGTTCTATATTTAGCAGTACTCTACAGGGTGACTTCGAAGTTGAGTCATTTATTTTAACAGTGAGTAGATCTGATCAAAAGAAATATTTTTTCCTTTAACATTTTTCTGGTAAAATTAAATTAACAAAGTTATAGCCCTTTGGAAGTTTGAGTACCGCCCTGTCTCAATAATAATATTATGTGCTCGTGTTTGGCAACAACGGATATAATCCGCCTTATCGGTTCATCGCATCGGAAACAAAAAAGCGAAAGAATTTGAAACGTTTATCACGATGTCAGTCAATGTTTCAGTCGGTAACGCGTGAGTGAATAGTGGTGTTTGTTGCGTGGCTCAAACGAAATAAAAAATGGCACATGTTTACAAAAATGCTGAACTTGTGAACTTGTGGACATGATTCTTATATAATCGAGTGCAACCAACACCTCGTGCCTTTGTTAATGTAGTACAAAGGGCTCGTGAATCAGGTGACTTAAGACCTCACAGAGGAGGGCATGCCGGTGCTCCAAGACAGCACGAACAAATACAGGTCCGCACTGAAATACGTGTCGGGAGGATACTTTATAAAACAAGGTAACATTTCTTTTTTTTTTTTAATTTTTACACACATATTTTGGTTTATCTTCCTTTTACAATCATTATCTGAAAATTAATGACTCAACTTCATATGATATTTTTTAAATGCAACTGGTGGTAAATGGTTTAAAAGGTGTTAGAAGATGTCCTTTTTCACATAACTCTAATCTATGCTTGTTTTCAATACATGAATGTAAATCGAAAATATACAGGGTGTTCCTTAATGTCACAGCGAACAGATTTGAATAACAGAAACTTGTCAGATGTCAAAAGCCAGTGACATATTCCAGAGCAACTAGATATTTATTGCTAAATTGCATTCTTCAATTAATTATTAGATTAATTTTCTCGGATTTGGCGTATCATTTTTTTCTTAAAAAAAATATATTAATTAATTTCAATTTTTTCCCTAAAACTTCAACAGACCGAGTTTTTGTAAGGAAACAGTTGTGGACCGTAGTTTATAAAGCAAACTAACATTAATGTAGATTCACACCTTTAAATATTCGCATATCATTAAATGTACATTAAATACAGCAAAGGATCTAAAACAGCCCTTTGACAGCTGAGCGCTAAAGATTTATAGGAAACCTAATTGCCTTCAGCTTAAAATTAATGATACGTTCAAAAAATGAGAGCGGGGATGGGGTTGAAAAGCACTACATGCATTTGTAAACTGGCACAATATTTCTCTGGATTCCGATTCGATTCTAGTTAAGTAACAAAATACCCGTATTGTAATTGACACGCAGTTAAGAGTGAGAATATTTTTAAATGCACTTGAATCAGACTATTTCGTGAGTAGATTTAAAAATAACCGTTGTATAAATAAAAATAAAAATCGCCTCACCTGTGAGATAATCAGAATGTTCGTCTTCACTGAATGATAAAGTTTCCTTTTGTGAGGTCATTATTTTTCATACCGACCATGATATATGATGATATGCATATGGCACACCTACACCCAAAACTGGACTTCAGTAGCGTCCGTGGAACCGAGCGTTTCGATTTTAAGCTTTTCTCTGATGTGTGAATTCAGTAGCGCCAGTCGAGGCATTAGGGTAGTAACTACCTCCGTATCAGTCATATGATACGGGGCCCCCAGCTTGCAAAAAAAATGCGTCCACAGTCTAACACAAATTTCTAGGACGTACGCTAAATTGAGAATTGTCAAGCGCTCTCAACTTTAAATTAAGGTGAAACACAACAAAAACAGCAACGCTGACTCGGCAATTTGCTGCGTTGCCAATATGCTGCACCAGTTCCTTGAATTAAGATGCATGTTAATTGTTTTATTTTAGTTACGGTCAGGATCGTCAAAAATTCTGCCACATTTCATCATTGGTTCGCTTGGCAACATCGCATCTCGTATATTCCAAGGCAAGGTTTCCACCTTCATGATCATAGATGAGCGATTTTGGTCAGTACCCGTTTCCTATATCTCAAAGACGTTTTAAAAACGTCATTTTGATATATTAGAGACGTCGTAAAGACGTATTGTGAACGCTGTACGACATGTTATCAAACTTTTTCTGGGTAGCTGTCCGGCGATCTGCAGCTCGTCTCAGCAGACACTGGAATAAATGGGTAGGTACAGGTTGTTCTTTTTAATATTGTAATCCAACCCAATCTCTTGATGACTTGCCATCGCGTGTGGAAAAGTATCACTTTCGGCACTTGTTAGTTGAATAACTATATTTTTGTAGTAAAAAGTGACGTCAAGTAAGTTGACTCTTCCGGATTACAATGAACTTTGGAAACACGCTGTATTTTTTTTGGCAGATAGAGATATCGCTCCAAGATTGGGACATGACTAGACATTTCTGGAGAGTTTAATGGGTTATCTATCCCTTCCGGTTTAACCAGAACTGACCTCGACTTTTGTTTTCAAATGGAAACCTCTATATTTGCTTCCATAATCGTGCTCTATGCAAAATTTCCTTTCCAACGATGTAATAGACATCTATTGATCACGCCACCTTGTAGCGGGTTTTTTTGGGTGTGGATTGAAACACTGGATTCCACAAAAAGAAATGCACTGATTTATTAGACTTGATAAAACATTTATATACACCAATGTTTATGTCTGACTATACTACAACTATTTAAAACTGTAATGACTCATACGCGTGATCAGAGCTCGATCCCGGCTTCCTTCCAGTACAGCCGTATAGCGTACGACATATGTCGTTTCTGTGGCTTTTCGGTGGTCAACAGTACAGACAGAGATGGAAATAATGGCTGATTGTTCTCCGCCGGTAGAACCAATGAAATCAAAGTCGCGCCTCGACCGGCAGACTCATAGGCGTCGGCAACGCATTGGAACGTGTTTCGTTGAGCGATCGCATATTGTGTGTTTTTATAAGAATTGTTGTGTGATTGTTATTGTTGTGGTTTCTGTGGTTACTGTTTTGGTTATACTTAACCATGGAGAGTACAAATGGCACGAGTGGACGTACTGAAAGCCAGGGAACAAGTAGACGGCTTCGTAAAGCACTGAAGAGGGACGCGAAAGAAATCGTGCTCAACGTGTTCAATTATCTGAACAGAACTATGTCGCAGGGAGATGCACTCGCGCGTTGTGAACGTATGACAGGCGTTCCAGAGTGGACCTTTCGCAGGGTGGTGCATGAAAAGAAGAAAACTGGAGCTACTACTGATCCAAAGTTTAATTTGAAGGGACGAAAGGCCGTTAAATTGGATGACGATAGCAAAATGGCGTTAAGGCGAACCGTACATTCATTCTTCTTTAGGAATGAGATACCAACCCTCAAGGCTGTACATGCAGCGATCAATGAAAATGAAATTATACCCCAAATGAGCGTCGAGGTAATGAGGAAATCCCTGCACGAAATTAATTTTCGTTACGAAACGCATAATCGGAAGTCAGTATTGATAGAGAGACCTGAAATAGTCGCCTGGCGTCGAAAATACCTACGCGAAATGATTGAATATAGGCGACAAAGCAGAAAAATCTATTATTTGAACGAGACATGGGTAAATGCAGGTCACACAGTTAAAAAAACCTGGATAGACAAAAACGTAGTGGGTAACCGACAAGCAAGCATTGAAGGTTTGTCAACAGGTCTTCGTGGACCGTCAGCGAAAGGTCAAAGATTGATCGTAACTCATATTGGTAGCGATAATGGCTTTTTAGAAGAGTGTGACTTGATTTTCGTCTCTAAGAAAGGAGGTGATTACCATGACGAAATGAATGCTAGCTGCTTCGAGAGCTGGTTTCAAGGGGTGCTTCAGCGAGTTGAGCCCAACTCTGTGATCGTCATGGATGATGCTTCCTACCATAGTCGTCGAGCCGAACGTGTACCGACTATGGGATCTCGAAAAAGTGACAAGCAGCAATGGTTGCGCGAAAAAGGAATCCCGTTTGACGATTCATGTGTGAAAGCCGAATTATATGAAAAAATTAAACAGCACAAACCTGCGAACATTAGTTACGTGACTGATGAGATGGCCCGTCAATGTGGTATCACTGTGCTGCGGTTACCACTGTGAACTGAACCCAATAGAGCTCATCTGGGCTCAAGTGAAGGGTTATATTGCGCGCCATAACACAACCTTCAAATTACCAGACGTTAAGGTTTTACTTGATACTCCCATACAGCTAGTAACGCCCGAAGCTTGGCAGAATGCTATCCGTCATGTTGTGAAGGAAGAAACAAAAATGTGGCAGCTTGACCACCACATCGACACCATCATAGAGCCAGTTATAGTCAATTTCAACGAGGAAAGCGATAGCGACAGTTTATTACTGTCAGACGTAAGTGGAAGCGACGATGAATAAAGGTAATTCCCAAATTTTTGACTTACAATATGTTTCAAACCACTCTTTATTAAGCATGTGACAAATCTAGTTCACCCATGTTAAACATTCATACCCCGCCTATGAACAGCCGACTACTGGTAGTTAAGTGATGTTCACGTGAACATCGATGAGTCATTACAGTTTTAGATAGTTATAGTGTAGATGGAAAATTGTATGACAGCACCTGTGAGCAGTTTTTTCAAGTTTACCCGCGGCAAAACTTGACACTTGTCATCAAAAATTACAATACCGTTGATAACAAGTAATTATGATCTCCTTGGACATCAGAAAACGACGCTAAACAATTTTTCTAATTATATTGTCAATAAATTTTGTAATATTGTTTTTTAATGATGATAATAATAATAGTTATAACGTTTATTGTTAAAAGAAAACAAAGTATAGCAGTAGTAGATAAAAGGAAATGGTATACAATAAACGAATGGACCCAAAAAACCCAATCGTGATAGAGACAATATTGGAACAAAAGACAATATTAGGCCAATAGACAAGAATGAAATTGGTAAAAGTAAGAAATAAAATGCAATAGTTCAGGAGATAAGAATTCAGGTCAGTTTGATTTACACATTATTACATTTTTTTGTCATTTTGAAGAGACTTTCGCTTTCATTAGTAGTAGATATTTTTTATATCAATCGCTTGATGAATCTTGAGCCTAGGCTGAGCCAAAATCCACAGTCTTAGATGCTTTTTCATAGTATATTAAAAAGAGAGAGAAAATATGGTTCATACAGGAATATTTATGAAACGTAAAAAGTCCATGACCCATCTTCTCAGAGTATACTCTACAGTCTCTACAGACTATCTCGGCATTCTGCAACCAACAAAACATGATGGGGAACTGACTTGCAGCCTGCAGCCTGGTCATTGAGCGTGTCGTGTCGTTGGGTCATTCCTCCAAAGATGGATTTACTATTTGCACACAAGGAACTATCTAGGCTGCAAGTTTGTCGTTTTTTAGGGTTTTTACGTAATAGCGCTGCCGTATTTTCATCTCAGATGAGCTTTGATATTGAAGTGTCTTATACAGGGTGACTTCGAACTTGAGTCATTTATTTTAACAGTGAGTAGATCTGATCAAAAGAAATGTTTTTTTCCTTTACCATTTTTCTGGTAAAATTAAAGTAACAAAGTTATAGGCCTTTGGAAGTTTGAGTACCGCCCTGTCTCAATAATAATATCATGTACTCGTGTTTGGCAACAACGGATATAATCCGCCTTATCGGTTCATCGCATCGGAAACAAAAAAGCGACAGAATTTGGAACGATGTTTTTACAATTATTTTATTCAGTTGTATACAGTCAGTGTCAGTCGGTAACGCGTGAGTGAATAGTGGTGTCTGTTGCGTGGCTCAAACGAAATAAAAAATGTACTATACTACTACTACTCATTGTAACAAAATGAGTGAAACTAATCATTTATTTAGACCTCATCTGTAGTATGCATAGGATTGGTATCAGGCTTCGAAAGAAGATCCATCGCCGTAGCTTATTTTGACTGACATTTTCAACCTCTTATTCGTGTCATTTTTTGGCAGAGAGATCCACAGGACGTTTGCTAGGTTTGCTCTTGATTTCAATTCTGTTACTCTGTCTCTTACAACAAATTCAGACTAGGTAGAACGCCGATAGCACGAAATATTTATTTAATGAATAACAATATTTGCATCTTGTTTAGATATTTGTTATCTTAAACAAATGTTTAATAAATATTTGTTTAATATTTTTTATTTATGTTAAATACAATATTTCCTTTATAATATTTAACAAATATTCACTTATATTTATGTAATTATATTCATAACATCCCAATGAAAAGCCACCACAATCACAACTTGATCGAGATACATCAAAAATGATTTTTTTCAATTACCATTTAATAATAATTTTATTGAGATTTGGCAGCGGTATTTTTGTCTTAGAGCCGTTTTACACACAAGAGAATTACTTCGAAAATTATGGTCATAATTATGCCGAAAATTTGCATGGAAAAAATATTGAAGATTTTCTCTACCCCCTGTATGACACAAGCAAACAAAATTTCGTAGTAATTCATATGATACGCCTGCGCATTAGAGTAATATTTTCGAATGGACATAACCTTAACGGGTATGACGTCCAATATAATCGGAAAGACAACAGACGTCGTTGATTTAAATTTATTTTTGAAATCGAGGGCTTGGTTAATATTATAAAACTTCTCAAGGCTTGGACTTATTGGGTGACTTCACCTTGTACAGGTTTGGCCATTTTTGGTACTCCTCCAACAACAGTGTAACTTCTTCCCGATTCCACGACATTATGAATAAACAATAACAATAAACGCTTCTTCGTACGACTTGAATAGGACCACACTCACAAATGTTAAGTGAGGTTATGTTG